CACAGGAGAGCCCGCGGGACACGCGGTCCGTTCCCACTACATCCGCTGAGTCCACACTTCTGCACTGCACCTCGTGTCAAACGGCCCATTGTTGTTCCCCGCGGCCTCCTGCAGGGGGGGGGTGCGCAGCCGAGAGCCGCAGGACACAGGTACACGGTGGGGAATGGAAGCTGCAGGGACACCCCGGCAGTGCTCCAACCCAAGCGGACCACGCTGGAGAGGGCGGCACCGCCGTCACCGCTGACCGACAGAAACGGGATGTAAGAGCACCAGAGCCACAGAGTGCGGACCGGGGACCAGCGGCGGCCCCCCAGGGAGCCCGGCGCCAGGATGCAAGCCACAGGAGAACCAGCGGGACACGCGATCATTCACACTGCAGTCGCTGAGTCCACACCTCTGCACTGTACCTCTTGTCCAACGGTTCATAGTTGTTCCTCCACGGCCTCCTGCTGGGGGGGGGCGCAGCCAAAAGCCGCTGAACACAGGTACACGGTGGGGGGCGGAAAGCTGCGGGGGTGGCATTCCATGGAGATGCACGGCACGTCCGACAACAGCACGACAGAACCAAGAGAGAGAATGCATGAGACCCCCCATCGCGCTGATGAGTACGGTGTACAACACGTAGTCAACAGAGAAGTGGATCTCAAAGTAGAAATCCAGACTGCCCACGGCATAGCCACAAGCGCAGCACGCAGACAGAGGAGAAAACTACTGAGGTCGACGGTGTAGCCACACACGCAGCACGTAGACAACAGCCAAAGTGAAGAAGTAGAAGTTCTGAACGAAACAGAAGTCGAGACACGTCGCAGGATGCGCCAGGCAGCAACGGGCCTGCTGCCAAGACCACCCTCCTCGCACCTGATCCCCACGAGCGCGATGCCGTTTATAAAGTGTGAGCCAGCAGAGTGCGTCTGCAAGAGCCCCATCTATGATTGGACATCCAAGTGGCATGGCAGCAGCTGCACGCCGAGAACACCTGCGCATGAGGGGGGTGCAGTTAACCGCCGCGAGACACACACTCAGCAGGGCAGCGACGGGCCTGCTGCCAGTGACCGCCCTCAACGCACCAGATCCCCGCGCGTGCGATGCCACGAGGGGGGTAACAAGTCTACTGTAGGGAGACGGCCCACCATTGTTTATTGCGCTTCTTGGGGGCCTGGTAGTTCGGGTGGCCCTTTGCCGCGCGGTGATCACTGCTCACACCTCCGCTCCGACCCAGGTGCAGCTGCCACGGCCGAGTCCAGTCGACGTCGAGGCCCAGCGCGTCGCTGAGGACCCGTACGTCGCACTTGTGGCTGCGGAAGGATTCCAAGAAGAGCTGGCAGGTTTGCGGGTCGTGCCAAAGCGGGTCGAGCGCGCCCTTGCTACCGGGCACAGACTGCCGCTTGGCGAAAGCGTGCCATGTGCCAGTGAACATTGGTCCCAGTGTGACTTGGAGTCGTCGCATCGCCTCGCCGGGTGTCTCCCCGGGGAGGCCCCACTGGATGTTGTTGATTCCTGTTTTGTACAGCTGTTGTCCCGTGTCGGGGTCCTTGGGCCCTGGCCATTGACGCGGGTCGGGCCTCTGGCGCCGCCATGTATCCTGGCCGCAAGTCTCCACGGTCCCGGCCTCATTGTCCTGGCTGGGGGGCTCGCGATCTGCTCGCAACAGCTCCAGCTGCACGCCTGGCAGGGCGTTGCGGGGAGATGCAAGCCGCACGTTTGGCCGCCAGGCTGGGGTCGGATCGCGCCCGGCGGCCAGGGCAGACGCGGCCTTGTGGCAAGTGGAGAAGGGCCCCATTCGCTGGCGTTCGCCTTCGGGCCTGCGCCCGCCGTCTCTCCCAGGTGCGCCCCTTTGGACAGCGCAGGACTCTCTCCGGCCTCTGGGGCACCGCTGGTTGTACCAGGCGCGCGCACGCTCGGCGGCGCGGCTTCCATAACCAGGGCGCGAGCTGCTTTGCCAGTGGCGCCCCGGGCGCCCGGCGAGGGCGCCTGGGGTTCGTCGTCCGCGAGGAGCTCGCTGACAGGGGAAAGGGGGGCGAATAGGCGCGAAGAGGTTTCTCCCGACGAGCCAGCGGATGGCTTCGCTGTCCTGCGTCTGGATGGTTGCTCCGCGGCCCCCCTGCTGGGTGCGTGGCGCTCCCAGGGGACTGCTGACGGACTGATTGCTCTGAGGGGGATGCTCCGCGGTTTCCGCGGCCTCCACCGTCTCCGCCGTGACTTCCCACTCCTTTCCTCTGCCCTGCTGGCACTGCTGAAGGGGAGGGGGGGGGGGGGGGGCGGTGGGGTAGTGTGAGCTGCACACTGGTCACTGCAAGCAACCGCCTCTCGATTCCCTACTGGAACGTCCTCGTCAGACAACGATCGATTCCCCTCTGGGACGTCATCATCTGTCAACGGGTGGCATGTTGCTGCTGCTGCTGCCATGTTCCGAGCTGTCGCTGTGAGCATCGAGATCTCTCGCGTCAGCGCCAGGCGCAACGATCTGCGCCCAGGAAGCGGCAGGAGCCTTCGGGAGCGCAACGAGCCCGCGCGGGATGTCCGCGAATTCCAGGTCGCCCGAAGGCGACTTGGGCAGCTTGCCACCGATGTTAGGCGTGATGTAGCCCATGGTCGCCAGCATGCTCACGCGGCCGTTCTTCAGCTCTGCCTGCCACTGGTGAGCGAGATTATCCGCGCTGCCGTCCGCTGTGCAGCCAGCAGGGCCCCAAAGGCCCGAGGGGTCCTGAACGCCCAGCTCGCTCTCGATTTTGAAGGTGCGCAGCGGGGATCCAGCGCACAGCGCCCCATCGCCCTGGGCGGAGTCTATCCGGCAGCCCTGGAGGAACATGCCGAGGGCCGCCAACATGGCAAGGCGGCCGTTCGCGACGTCCGTCGCGGGGTCGCTGGACGTCAACACCGCGAAGGCGAAGTTGCGCGCGGCAGCTGCGATGTCCGCGGACTGGTCCTCGAGGACAGCGGCCACAGCGAGCACCTGCTCTTCTCGCACGCGCTGGTCAGGGTGCCCTAAGTGATGATGTTGGGCTTCAGACTCGCTGCCGCCATCTCTCTCAGCAGCACCATTGCCTGCTGGCGCTGCCAACGCCTGCTCTTCCCGCACTCGCTGATCATGGCGCTGCAGGGGGTGATGCTGGGCTCCAGCTGCACGACCACCATCTCGCTCAGCAGCGCCTTTGTTTGCTGTCGCTGCCAACGCCTGTTCTTCTCGCACGCGCTGTTCAGGGCGCTTTAGGCGTTGATGTTGGGCACCAGCTGCACGACCACCATCTCGCTCAGCAACGCCATTGCCTGCTGTCACTGCCAACGCCCGCCCTTCTCGCACCAGCAGTTCCGGACGTGGCAGGTGATGATGTTGGGCTTCAGCGGCAAGACCGCCATCTCGCTCAGCAGCGCCACAATCTGCAACCACTGCCGACGACTGCTCTTCTCGCACGCGCTGTTCACAGTGACGTACGTGATGATGTTGGGCTCCAGTTTCACGGCCACAATCTCGTCCAGCAGCGCCACATCACGCTGCCACTGCTGACGCCTGCTCTTCACGCACGCGCTCTTCACAGTGCCGTAGGTGATGATGTTGGGCTCCCGCTTCGCTGCCACAATCTTGCCCAGCAGCGCCACGACCTGCTGCCACTGCTGCCGCCTGCTCTTCTCGCACTCGCTCTTCACAGTGCCGTTGGTGAAGATGGTGGGCTCCAGCTTCGCGGACACAATCTCGCCCAGCAGCGGTACTGCCTGCTGCCACTGCCGACGCCTGCTCTTCTCGCACGCGCTGTTCACCGTGCCAGAGTTGATGAACGTGGGCTTCAGCTTCACGACCGGGGCCTCGACCAGCAGCGCCACGTCCTGCTGCCACTGCTGAAGCCTGCTCTTCACGCACGCGCTCTTCACAGTGCCGTAGGTGATGATGCTGGGCTCCAGCTTCGCTGCCACAATCTCGACCAGCAGCGCCACAACCTGCTGCCACTGCTGCCGCCTGCTCTTCTCGCACGCGCTCTTCACAGTGCCGTTGGCGAAGATGGTGGACTCCAGTTTCGCGGCCACAATCTCGCCAAGCAGCGGCACTGCCTGCTGCCAATGCCGACGCCTGCTCATCTCGCACGCGCTGTTCACAGGGCCGTACGTGATGATGTTAGGCCCCAGCTTCACGACCAGGATCTCGCTCACCAGTGCCACGGCCAGCTGCCACTGCCAGCGCCTGCCCTTCTCGCACCAGCTGTTCCGGATGACGTAGGAGATGATGTTGGGGACCGGCATCATGTCCAATGAGGCCGGCGGCGGCGGCCGCCGCCAGCGGCCCGCCCGAGGCGGCCGCGGCAGCGGCGGCGGCAGCGGCGGCCGCGACACCAGCAGCAGCGGGAGCGGCGGCGCCGGCGGCCGCGGCGGCCACGGCGGCGGCCGCCGCACCCGCGGCGGCGCCGCGGCAGGCCCCAGAGCGGCGGCGCGCGCCACAGCGCCGGCGGCCGCGGCTGTCTCGCCGCGGCCGGCCGCCGCCACGGCCGCGGCGGCGGCGCCGCCGGCCGCGCCGAGGTAGCCAGGGGCCACGCCGGGCCGCGGCGGCAGCAGGCCGGCCGGGCCGGCCGCGGCGGCGGCGCGGCAGGCGGCGGCGCGCCGCTGCCGCCGCCGCCGCGCCGAGCGCGACTCCATGGCCGAGCGAGCGGGGGCGCGGAGGGGGGCGAACCCCTCGCACGCCCCCGCGGGCTCCACCTCCTCATCCTCCTCCTCGACCTCCTCCTCATTCTCCTCAACCTCCTCCTCCTTCTCCTCCTCATCATCATCCTCCTCCTCCTCCGCCTCCGCCTCCGCCTCCGCCTCCTCCTCCTCCTCCTCCTCCTCCTCCTCCTCCTGCTTCTCCTCCTCCTCCTCTTCCTCCTCTTCCCCTCCTGCACCTCCTCCTCCTGCTCCTCCTCCTCCTCCTCGTCCTCCTCCTCTCCACCATCACCACCAACAACACAAGCCCCCCTCTCCTGCCTCTCACCCCATTCATCCGCAACGCAATCTTCAGTCGCAATTTATGGGCAAGCCTCCTTGACTAGCCGGTGCTCCTCATTGCGCCGCCTTGCTTCCAGTATATCCTCGGAACGAGCGCACGGCGGGAGGGAAGTACGAGGCATGTACGCAGCGACAAACTAGAAAGAGATGATAGTGCATGCACGGGACATGCAGGATGAGAGTAGATTCGGCCCCCCAAATCGAAATACGAGAGCACAAACAAATCACGTGTAATATCAGCTCGGTGTGCACATAAGCATTGTCACCCTCACTCCCTCCTGAACTCCGTCAAGTTGCTCTGATCTCCTCCTCCTCCTCCTCCTCCTCCTCCTCCTCCTCCTCCTCCTCTTCCTCCTCATCCTCATCGTCCTCCTCATCCTCATCCTCATCCTCATCCTCATCCTCATCCTGATCCTAATCCTCCTCCTGCTCCTCCTCCACCTTGCTCCTCCTCCTCCTCCTCCTCCTCCTCCTCCGCCTCCTCCTCCTGGCAGGAGGCTGCCCTCCTCCTGCGCAGGCACCGCAGGCTGCGGCTGTCGACAGCCCTGAGCCCACCGCTGCGCCAGCGCCAGCAGGTGGGGCTGCAGTTTCCTCTGCGTCGGCTCCCACGGCAGCTACTCCTTCCACACAATCAGTTTCGGCGCCAGTTCCCACGTCGTCGGCACAGGCGCCGTCGAGCACGCGCGCACGAGCTGACAGGATTGCGGGAAAAGCTTATGATTCAGGCCCCCCCTGGAGGAGCCGAGTTTCTCCTTTTGCCTGGAACTTGGGACCTCTGGCCTCGCTCCTTCGGGATCCTGTGCTTCGGGGACCATCGGTTTGGCGGACGGCACTTTCAGGTTCAGCCTCCAGGGGGGATGCGATTCTTTCGATGTTGTACCCCGCCGCTCAGCGGCCCAGGTAGCACTCTGGCGCAAGTGAGGCATTCCTCTCCTCCTCGCTTCCTCCTCTGGCAGCATCGGGGGCTCGAGGTTGAACTTTATACAGCAGTGCAGGCCATCGTCCCGTTGGCGCTCGCTGCTTGCTCGTGCTGACTCAACTATCGTCAGGCCAGTTGACAGTACGTGCGATATCTTGATTTCTCACAGGCGCCAGGCCCCTATTTATTTCGCTCGACCGTCGGAGGTGTATCCAGTGATCTCTCGGGCCAAGGATGCTCCTTGTCGCACCTCGTTGGTCAGGCTCCGATTGCCTGCCCCTTCCTCGGTGTCGCAGGCTGTGGGTAACCTTTCTGCTGAGAGCAGCTGCCTCGGGGGACCTGGGCCGCTGGTGGAACAGGTCGCTCGGAGCTGCCCTAAGTCCCCACCTTATGCTCGAAGCGCTCGACCTTTGGTCTCAGAACGCGAGGGCACGGGCCCTTCTGGCCCGAGCGCTCATCCAGATGGAGCGTTGCCTCCTGCTTCGCATCACGCCTCGGCTGCGGTGAGCACGCCTGTCCAAGTCGATGCTGCGCCGCTCAGGATTCAGACCATCAAGTGCAACTCGTGGGGCACACTGCGTAATATGATTGAAAGGTCTGATGCGCATACTCTGCTCTGCCAAGAGCATCTTCTGATTCGCAAGGAAGATATGAATCAGGCTAGCGCCTGGTGTCTCCGCCGCGGCTGCAAAAGTGTGCGGTCGCCTGCCACGGCCACTGAGGTGGGGGGGCACTTCGGGTGGTGTCGCCATTTTCGTGCGCTCCTGGATGGGCTGTTCGGAGGTACCCGGGGGTCAGGTTTGCCCCGGCAGGGCTGTTGCGTGCACTTTCGAGCTTCCGGGGGCCCCCCCATATTAGTTACGTCGGCCTGCCTTCACCACTCAGAAGGCCTTGCGGACAGGAACCTGGACCTGCTCTCGGCTCTCGGCCTGCGCTTATCCACGGCTGCGCCGCCAGCTGCTTCCCACGCATTGCATGCGTGCATATCCCACTCGCCGGCCCGCCGCTGAGGTGCTGCGTGAGGCTCCGGCCCACCGCTTTAGGTTAATTCTTCTTTGCGCGCCCCGCTCCGACTGGACTCGCCGCTGGCGCGCTCGCCTGCGGCCGCTGACTAAAAATTATCCCGGCAAAGCAACCTAACAGCGATGTGTAGGAGCATATCTGGAAGCATTCCCCTTAAGATTCAGATGAGAATCCAGTTGTAGAATTCTGCTGTTCTCGCAGTCGTAGCCGCATTCGCGATGACAGTCGCAGTGGCAACGGCAGTCGCAGTCACAGCCTCAGCCTCAGCCTGCCTCAGCCTCAGCCTCAGCCTGCCTCAGCCTCAGCCTGCCTCAGCCTCAGCCTCAGCCTGCTTCAGCCTCAGCCTCAGTCTGCCTTCAGCCTCGGCCTCAGCCTCAGCCTGCCTCAGCCTCAGCCTCAGCCTCAGCCTCAGCCTGCCTCAGCCTGCAGCCTCAGCCTCAGCAGCCTCAGCCTCAGTCTGCCTTCAGGCCTCAGCCTCAGCCTGCCTCAGCCTCAGCCTGCATCAGCCTCAGCCTCAGCCTCAGCAGCCTCAGCCTGCCTCAGCATCAGCCTGCCTCAGCCTCAGCCTCAGCCTGCCTCAGCCTCAGCCTCAGCCTGCTTCAGCCTCAGGCCTTCAGCCTCGCCTCAGCCTCAGCCCTCAGCCTCAGCCTGCATCAGCCTCAGCCTCAGCCTCAGCCTGCCTCAGCATCAGCCTGCCTCAGCCTCAGCCTCAGCCTGCCTCAGCCTCAGCCTCAGCCTGCTTCAGCCTCAGCCTCAGTCTGCCTTCAGCCTCGGCCTCAGCCTCAGCCTGCCTCAGCCTCAGCCTGCATCAGCCTCAGCCTCAGCCTCAGCCTGCCTCAGCATCAGCCTGCCTCAGCCTCAGCCTCAGCCTCAGCCTGCCTCAGCCTCAGCCTCAGCCTGCTTCAGCCTCAGCCTCAGTCTGCCTTCAGCCTCGGCCTCAGCCTCAGCCTGCCTCAGCCTCAGCCTGCAGCCTCAGCCTCAGCCTCAGCCTGCCTCAGCCTCAGCCTGCCTCAGCCTCAGCCTCAGCCTGCCTCAGCCTCAGCCTCAGCCTGCTTCAGCCTCAGCCTCAGTCTGCCTTCAGCCTCGGCCTCAGCCTCAGCCTGCCTCAGCCTCAGCCTGCATCAGCCTCAGCCTCAGCCTCAGCCTGCCTCAGCATCAGCCTGCCTCAGCCTCAGCCTCAGCCTGCCTCAGCCTCAGCCTCAGCCTGCTTCAGCCTCAGCCTCAGTCTGCCTTCAGCCTCGGCCTCAGCCTCAGCCTGCCTCAGCCTCAGCCTGCATCAGCCTCAGCCTCAGCCTCAGCCTGCCTCAGCATCAGCCTGCCTCAGCCTCAGCCTCAGCCTGCCTCAGCCTCAGCCTCAGCCTGCTTCAGCCTCAGCCTCAGTCTGCCTTCAGCCTCGGCCTCAGCCTCAGCCTGCCTCAGCCTCAGCCTGCATCAGCCTCAGCCTCAGCCTCAGCCTGCCTCAGCATCAGCCTGCCTCAGCCTCAGCCTCAGCCTGCCTCAGCCTCAGCCTCAGCCTGCTTCAGCCTCAGCCTCAGTCTGCCTTCAGCCTCGGCCTCAGCCTCAGCCTGCCTCAGCCTCAGCCTGCATCAGCCTCAGCCTCAGCCTCAGCCTGCCTCAGCATCAGCCTGCCTCAGCCTCAGCCTCAGCCTGCCTCAGCCTCAGCCTCAGCCTCAGCCTCAGTCTGCCTTCAGCCTCGGCCTCAGCCTCAGCCTGCCTCAGCCTCAGCCTGCCTCAGCCTCAGCATCAGCCGGCCTCAGCATTCAAAATGTGGCCCGGGAATGCAGTTCTGGGAACTCGAAGACCACGAAATGGCCTACGGTTGGCTCCGGGCATTCAAAATGTGGCCCGGAAATGGAGCTCTGGGAACTCGAAGAGCACGAAGTGGCCTACAGTTGGCTCCGGGCATTCAAAATGTGGCCCGGGAAGGGAGTTCTGGGAACTCGAAGAGCACGAAGTGGCCTACAGTTGGCTCCGGGCATTCAGAATGTGGCCCGGGAATGGAGTTCTGGGACCTCGAAGACCAAGAAGTGTGTAACTGTTTGCTTAAAACGACTTCCGCGGATTCTCCCCGGATCCTGCCCGGACCCCCCCTGGGGAGTCATGATGTTTCTTTTGAAACCATTAGAAACCTATCAGTCTTCGCTGTTAGGTAATTATCCACGGCTGCGAAGCCCTGGATTCTTGGAGCCGCCGTTTTAGGCGCCCTCCCCCGTTACCCTGCGAGGCCGTTGTTGGTCCTGCCCCCAGGCCTCAGGAGTGGTCAGGGGTTCAGGCGCTCGCCGATTCCGCGCTCAGCTCCGTCGAGATGGATCGCCCGAAGGAAGCTGCTTCCCTTCTCGGCGAGCCCCATCAACGCTGGCCCGACAAAACTGAGAAAGAACTTATCCCGATTGTTGGGCCGTCTCCTGTTAAGCTCGGGTCTCGTGGGCCGGGGCCCCAGCTGGTCTGGCGCTCGGTTCTGGCCAAGGACCCCCAGGTCAGGCACCCCGCTCATCGGTCCATTTCTTGGCTCGGTCAGCAGCTTTGGGCGTACATCCATGCGCTGCGTGCTAGCGTCTCCAGCACGGCCAGCGTTTTAAATGATTTGCTCCCTCAGCCCCCGCTGGCAATTGCGGGCGCTAAGGCTGACGATGCGCCCCTGTTCGAGCTGGTGGCCACGGCTGTTTCGGCCTCGGCCGATCCTGATTCGTTCGCGGATACGCGCACCCAGGTGCACGAGCCCGCCCAGGCCGCCGACGCCAAGTTCCTCGCCAAGGCTCGTGCTGAGTGGACGGCCTGGCCCAATGTCGGAGTGCAGTCTGGAGCTAGACGTGCTCACACGTTGCTCCGAGACCAGCCCCCTCGGGTGGCTAGCAGCACTCTTTCTGACGAAGGCAGCGTCGTGACCGATCCGCTCTCTCTTCTGGAAGCCGACGGTTGTCGCTTTTCGTCGCTTTGGGACTCTGGTCAGAGGGCCTCTTCGGCATTTGAGAGGCTCGACCCCCTCCCCGTTTTGGGGAACAAACGATTCGGGGCATCGCTCGATCCTACCAGAGCGCTTCTGCCGCGTCGGTGGATGGGTTTCACTGCAGACACTACGCTTTGCCTTCAGGTGCTAGCCTTGAGTGCTTCAGCAGCATCTTGTGCCACATCGAGGCGCTCGGAGTTTGCCCCCGCAAATCTTGGTCGTCCTTCTGGCGCTGCTGCCGAAGCCGACTGGCGGGTACAGGCCCATAAGGGAGTTCTGCTCTTGGTTCAGAATCTGGGGGCGATGCAGGCGCCCCCTCGCTATGGACCAGGAGCTTACACACCCCCGTGGGTACTGGGCCGCAGGCCAGCATCGGAGACCTGCCGACGTTGTCTGGCGACAGGCTGTCACGGCCGAGTCCGGAGTTGCCCGTGGCGAGGCCAGTGGCAGCATCTTCTTCGATTTACATAAGTTCTAAGAGAACCTCAACTTGGAAAAACTCGAAGATCGTCGTCGTCGTCGTCATGGTTTTCCGATGATTATCGCTCGCGCGCGCCTCTTCGCCTAAGGTCGGAGGCTTCTCACGTCGTGAGGGCTGGCTGGAGGGGCCACATTTTTGCATTAATGGGGTCGTCGCTGGCTGCTCCATGGCTACTACTCTGATCCGTGCGCATTGTCTCGAGGGGTGCGAAAGCGTTCCCCCGTCCCCCCCCCACGGCCCTGGACGTCTATATTGACGATCAAGGTTTGTCGTCGACCAGTCGCCCGTAGGCGGTCGTGCCGGCGCCCGTAGGCGGTCGTGGCGTCGTGGCCTGTTACAGCGTCGTGCAGGAGATTTTCGGGTGGTCGTTCGCTCTCGAGAAAACGGCGGTCGTCTCGACCTCGAAACTCGCTGGCACTCAGGTTCTGTCCAGCCTCGGCCACCTCTGCCAGCATTGCTCTTGTTCCACAGTCAACCTCTGATCTGACTACACGGCTGGTCGAGCCGTTCGAGTTGCCGGCAGGTCGGCCAAGTTACAGGCTCGACTCGCGGAGGTTGGCAGAGCCGCGCGGCGCTTAGCGCGGCAGGGCAAGGCTATTGCCAGATCCACGGCCCTGAAGGCGTTCTCGGCTGGGCCCTTAGCAGGGGCCTCCTTCGGCACCGAGGTCACTGGCACTAGCGATCACGACCTTAGCCCGTTGCGCCGCCTTGTATCTTTCCTGTGGTGCGACCACGCAGTCAACTGAGGTCCCTCACCGTCTGCGCCATCCCGGATGGCGACCCGACCTGGCGGGCGGCCACTGCTCCCATTCTCAGATGGAGTAAGGAGGCGTGGATCAGTCAGACGTCGGCCTTCCGCTGGTCTATTCCTCTGCCTGTGCTCAGGCGCGCGTGGCACGTAATTTGTTCCAGCGACAGATGCAGCTGGAGGTTTCAGGGCCCACATCGGCCACGCGGATGTCTCTGGTCCGTCTGGGATGGAGAATGGAAGACTTTATGACACTGGTCCATGATTTCGGCAAGTGGATTCCCCTGGGTCTGTTCTCTCCTGATCTGGTGGAGCCCCGGGTCCGCGAAGGGTACCTCCGCATGCTCGAATGAGACGCCGCTGCGAAACGCGGGATTCCGCCCCGCCATTGTTACGACGCGGCCAGGGAAGCCATCTCCAAGCGCAGTAAGACACACACGGCCCTTCAGAAGGCCAGGAACAGGGCCCTCTCTACTGGGGCCCCTCTCACTGCTGCCAGGGCCGAGGCGCTCGGATACCTTATCGAGCCAAATTGCATCCACTGCGGAGCTCGCGACGCCATCTTCCATCGGCCGCGGGAATGCCCGCTCGGCCCTGCTGTGGAAGACCGCGCCAATGCTGTGGAGCAAGGAAGCGTTGATGATGCCTTGGCTGCTAAGGCGTCTGGAGACGACGTCGAAGCTTTTGTCTCCATATCTGGAGCCTTTTCGGCATCCCGCCGATGATTTCCCTCGCACCCTCACGGAGCAAGATGATGGTCCGACCCTGGTTCGGCACAAGCGGCCCGAAGTTGGCTCAGACAGTGGCCCCGTCAGCAACCGTGTTTGGGGCGACCTTTTCGTCGATGGATCCTGCACTCGACATGCGATCTGCGAACTGTCTGAGGAAGGTACTTCGGTTTGCATGGTTGATGCCGAGGGTGATGTAGATGCGGAGCCCAGGGCCCCCGCGTGGGGGCCCTACCCTCAGACCCCACAGAGTGCTGAGTTTTCGCTTTCACGTGGGCCAACGTGCTCGCGACGCACCCCTCGGATTGTTACGTCTATTCGGACTGTAGCAATGTGGTGCAGACTGCTGCGAAGGACAAGCAGCTGCAACTTCCCCCCTCTCATGTTCGAAGGTCGCTGCCCACCTAGACCTCGAAACCCCTGATACTTCGGCACAGGAGCGTTGGCGTAGACCCGGCAACCACCACGCCGATGCAGGTGCTGGGTATGCGGTTTCGTTGCATCCTCACGACGAAGCTCAGATGCAGGCGGCTGATCGCCTGGTGATGTTCGCGCGGGCGACGCTCAAGGTTGCTGCGCACGTGCCCCCTAACTGGCCTGCTCTCGATCTCAACGGAGAGGTCCCTCGGCCCCGTCGTGGGCAAGGCCCCCTCCATCGGTCATGTCTGGAGGCCCTGGGCGGGGGGAATCTGGAGGCGTGCTCAGTGACGCGGGAACCGCTCGCATTCGAAGCCACATCCAGGATCCTGCGCCCGCACTTCGGTCGTTCATGCGGACAACAAGGATGCTCTAGGCCATCGTACTGTTGCCTTTCCGTGCGCAGACAACTCGATGATGTTCATATGTCTGAGGTGCAAGTGCCACAGCAGCGGAGGCCAGATCCGTGGACTGTCCAGGCAGTGTGTCCTCTCCCCATCGCGCGCATGCAAGCATGGTTGGGTTTTTTGTGCAAGGACCAACATCCGCGAAACAGTCAGCGGAAGGCGGGTGTCCTTGTGGACACGGAAGGTCTGATGCAGTGCTGTAATCTGCCAGAGACTGGTGCCGCCTCGTCCAGTGCCAACGCTGCTGCAGCTGTGCCCCTGCGCAGCGGTATGGACCGCGCTCAAGGCAGCACGGCATCCTCTTCCTGTGCGCCAGCGGCTCGTGCCCCTGTGCCGAGCTCCGCCCCGCTGGCGGCTGCGCGGCTGAGCGAGTTGAAATCCTCACCTCCTCTTGTCGTGGGCGTGGGTGAAGGTGGCTGTGCGCTCGGCGGCGCCTTTTAGCTCCGCGGCTGAGCGAGTTGGCCACCTCTCCTTTACCTGTGGAAGGTGAGGGGGGATGGACTGCGCGCTCGGCTGCGACGATTTAGCTCGTTTAGCTCGCTGGCCATTTTAGGGCGCCAGCACCTCCCTCCGTTGCTGGCGCTCTGTCTGGGCCTTCCCCTGATTTTGGAGGCGCGGGCGTGGAGCTCAAAAAAATCATCATCCTCGTTCCTCCCTTTCCTCCCCTTCCTCCTTCTCCTCCCTTTCCTCCCTTTCCTCCCTTTCCTCCCTGTCCTCCCTGTCCTCCCATTCCTCCATTTCCTCCCTTTCCCCCATTTCCTCCCTGTTCTCCCTGTCCTCCCTGTCCTCTCTTTCCTCCCGTTCCTCCAGTTCCTCCCTTTCCTCCCTGTCCGTCCTTTCCTCCCTTTCCGCCCTCTCCTCCCTGTCTTCCCGTTCCTCCCTTTCCTCCTCCTCCTCCTCCTCCTCCTCCTCCTCCTCCTCCTCCTCCTCCTCGCCCTGTTCCTCCTCATCCTCGCCTGAGGCGCGACCTCACCTGGACAATCATCCATCCTCCGCCTCCTCCTCCTCCCCCTCCTCACCCCTCCTCACTCGGAGCAGCCTCCGTCGTCCTCCTGCAAGAGAGAGCAAGCTCCGTCGTCTGCTTCTCCGTCTCCCGGATCTTCTTTCGGGTGTTTTCCTCCTGGCGACGGGGGACCCAGGATTGGAGCCGTGGCGGAAAACGGATTCGGGACGCACGTGGCGGACGAGGAGGGAAACCAGTGGTGGAGGACAAGGAGGAGGAGCAGGGGGTAAAGGCTCCCAGGCAACCAACGTCTTGAAGACAAAAGACATATGCAGACAGCATCACAAAATTATCCTGCGATGTACCCAACCCATTTACTTCAAATGACCAGAGGAGTTGGCCCAAACTAGTATGGGTGATCACACGCAGAAACCGTCATTGTTGTGCAAGCTACATAGCATGCGCGCGCGTTGCACAACTCATCGGACAGCCATAGAAGGACGAGGAATGAGGTCCCTCAAGGATGTCGAGGTCCCGCTCTGATTTGCGTAGCACCGCACTTAGCTACCCCCCAAAGAACACACGAAAATGGTGACAGATTCGCAGTTCGCAACCCGCCAGAGATGGTGAGGTCCCGCTCTGCTCTGCACAGCGTCGCACGAAGCTGGCTCCCCATAGCAGCCCTCCGAAGTGGCGACAGTTTCATAGTTTGCAGCCCCCCAAGAACGGCGACACAAAGACGTCACGCCGTTGGACCCCCCAGCGGTCCTCGAGCGTGGGGACAGGGCGCCACTTTTGCGGTTCGCAGCCACCGCAAGCATGGCAAGGTCCAATCTGAGTCCGCGTAGGACGTCACCGTGCTGGCCCCCCCAGCAGTCACCGAAAGTGGCGACAGCTTCACACATCGCAACCCACCAGCGAAGGCGAGGTCCCGCTCTGATCTGCGTAAGATGTCACTCCGCTGGACACCCCCCCAGTAGCCCTCGAACGTGGCGACAGGTTCGCAGTTCGCAGCCCCCCAGGGATGGCGAGGTCTACTCTGGGTTTGCGCAAGCCCTGGTGATGCTGGCCCCCCCGGCAGTCACCGCAAGTGGGGACAGTTTCACGCTTTCCAGCCCCCCAGGGATGGCAATGTCAAATCTGAGTCCGCGTAGCCCCCCGACTCCGCCGGCCCCCCCAGCAGGGAAAGGAGGAGTAGACACAATCCCCGTGCTCTGCTCAAAACGAGAATCCAACGCAGGAGGATTGGGAACAAAAACGTGGCGCGATGTCGCGACAGGAGCTCTCGACCCGACACCATGATGTACCAGAATCCCACTAGCCCTTCAGAGCATGAGTGGTCTAAGGATGCTCCTGCTCCAACCCCCCTTCTTCCCCTTCGACCCTCTCCTTCTGGACCTGGACGGGGCGCCCCGCGAGGTGTCAGAGGGCATTTCTTCTGGGCGTCGGCGAGATGGCCAAAATCATTGATTTCACTCAAGTTTTCAGACCATGTTGGCTTCTTTGGGGGGGGCGCGCACTACCCCTCTTATTTAATCGATCTCCTCCAAGATGGCCCCAAGAAGGCTCCCGAGGCTCCCAAGGAGCTCCCAAGAGTGCCCCGAAAGGGCCCCAAAAGGCGCCCAGGGGGCCCCAAGAGACCGCCAAGATACCTCCAAGATGTCCCCAAGAGGCTCCCAAGAGACCCCCAAGAGGCCACAAGAGGCCCCCCCGAGGCACCCAAGACTCTTCAAGAGACCCCCAGGGCCACCAAGAGATCCCCAAAAAGCCCCAACAGGCCTACAAGAGGCTCTCGAGAGACATCCGAAGAGACTCCGAGAAGCATCTAAGAGGCCTGTGGCCGTCCTGTTCGCCCTCCTCCTCCCCTTCCTCCTCCTCCTCCCTCCTCCTCCTCCTCCTCCTCCTCCTCCTCTGGTTTCTCCTCTATCTTCCCCCTCTTGGGGCATGACGGCTTCTTAGCCTTTATTCCAATGCGGGCTCCCCCACATGCCTGATCAGGGCAACTCGCCTGGACATCGTTTCTGGATGGGGTGGTGGGATTGCGCAAAGCGTTCTAGGGTGGATCGAATCAGGAGGGCCCCCAGGCCCGAAATGGATCGCAGAAAGACGTAGTGACATTCCAGCGACGCCTGGACTTCAGGGAGCAAGGGGGAGACGAAGGAGAGGGAGGAAGGCACGGAGGAAGGCAAGCGGCAAAGCGAAGACGAAATTGATGGCGGAAAGGCGATAGGACGGTAGGAATCGACGGGGACGGGCAGACAGAAACAGACCCTACCAGCAGGCGGGAGGGATGGTGAATGTCCAGGAGGAGCTCACGAGGGGGGGGCGGAGAGGAAGGAGGAAGAGTGAAGCGACGAAGGATTCTAGCGGGGTCCGAAGGTTCCCTGAGTGAGGATCTCGGAGCTTTCCGACATGCCTCTCCTGTGTTTCTTTATGTTTCGATGCGTGCGTGGACAATGGTCCGCCTTTATCTTGCGCCGCAACCAACTGCGGACAAGGAGGGGGGAGGATGAAGGATGACGGGGGGGAAGGAAAAGAGGGAGAAGGACTGGAGGAGGGAAGGCAAGGGAAGATCGGGCGCGAAGAACAAGGAAGGAGGGGGGAGAATGGACAGGGAGCGGGAAGATGAGAAGAGATTTGAAAGATCCGGGAAAAGATAGGGGGCAAGGGGCAGAAGGAAGACTGAACGAGAGATGAAAAAAGGCATGATACATGTTGCAGTGTGTTTACCTCCTCCTCCTCCTTCTTATCCTCCTCCTCCTCCTCCTCCTCCTCACCATCATCATCATCATCATCATCATCATCATCATCATCAACATCAACATCATCATCATCATCATCATCATCATCATCATCATCAGCATCATCATCATCATCCTCATCATCATCATCATCATCATCATCATCATCATCAGCATCATCAGCATCAGCATCATCAGCATCAGCATCATCATCATCATCATCATCATCATCATCATCATCATCATCATCAACAACAACAACAACAACAACAACAACAACAACAACAACAACAACAACAACAACAACATCATCAGCATCAGCATCATCGTCATCATCAGCATCATCATCAGTATCATCATCAGCATCAGCATCAGCATCAGCATCAGCATCATCATCATATCACCATCATCATCATCATCATCATCATCAGCATCATCAGCATCATCATCATCATCATCATCATCATCATCATCATCATCATCATCATCATCATCATCATCATCATCATCATCATCATCATCATCATCGCGCATCATATTCTGCCTCTTCCCGCTCCTGCTCCACCTTCACCACCTGTACCACCTCCTCTTCTTTCTCCTCGTCCCCCTCCGCCGCCTCCTCCTCCTCCCTCCTCCTCCTCCTCCTCCTCCTCCTCCTCCTCCTCCTCCTCCTCCTCCTCCTCCTCCTCCTACATATCATCCTCCCTTTTCCTCAATATACTCCAGCTCATCCTACTCTAGTCATCCACGTACCCCACCGTCCTCATGCTCCTTCTCCTGCCTCTGCTCCGAAGCGGGAGGCGGAAGAAGGGATCTGGCCCGATGCGTGCTCTCCCGTGCGCGAAGACAAATAAGTGAAGGAGCAAATTGGATGAGGAGGAAGAGGAATAGAAGGACCAATGAGGAGGAACATGATAACAAGTGCTGTATGCGCGCAGGCAGCGTCAGGAGACCCCACGTAGGCCCGCCTACTGGGTCAGATTGTTAAGCCGAATGCCAAGCGTTTTTCACCACAGCACATCTACGGCATATTTCCCAACCATCCTGTGGTGTTGGGTCCTGGTTTTGTACAGACGCCCCGCGTTCTTTCCTTCCTTCCTTCCTACCTTCCTTCGTTCCTTCCTTCGTTCCTTTCCTTCCTTCCTCTCCTCCAATCCGCGCCTCTGCCCTCTGCATGTTCACCACTTCGGCACACCCCTCACACGGTTCGTGGCCCCATGGGGAGCTCCACCAAAGGCTCCAGCGGGAGGGCTCCCATGGCACCACCGCATCCAATTCTGCACACCCCTCAGACGGAACTCCACCGAAAGTTCCACTGCGAAGGTTCGCATGGCACCACCGCGCCCAATTATGCACACCCATCACACGCTTCGTGGCCCCATGGGGAGCTCCACCGAAGGCTCCACTGGGAGGGCTCGCGTGGCACCACCGCACCAGGTTCGGCACACTCCTCATACGTTTCGCGGTCACATTGGGAGCCCCACCGAAGGCTCCAGTGGGAAGGTTCGCATGGCACCACCGCGCCCAAGTCGGCACACCCCTCCCACGGTTATTACATGAATTCCGCCGGCGGCAGGTCAGGAAACAACCGGACAACACAGCGACCCTGTGGATGCCAAGCGCAGGCACGCACGATGCACCGCTGCCAGTCCGGCTTGCAGCAGGGGGGCCAGCCCTCCGCGGCGCGCCATCAATCATCAGCGCGGGCACGGGGGCGCACCGGGCGCCAGGCCCGCAGGCCATCACTCACGCCCCCACCTGGGCGCGTTGCTGAAGCCCCAAATGTCGTTGCAATGCACGAGTTTTTGCTGGAGGTGCTTGCGTTTGCACCTGTGCGGGGCGCAGCCGACGGCGTTGTAGTCTGGGCAGATGAGGCCACCATCCGCGTTGAAGCGCGCGAACCTCGGCCTCGGGCTCGACTTGCCGCCGCCGAGGGCCTGGCGCGCCGCCCCACCCTGGTCGGAGCCCCTAGAGCCGCACCTGTGCGCCGCCGGCACGCCGCGCCGTCGTCGAGGCCTTTTAGCCGGAGCATCTGCGGCCGCCTGACACCGCGGACCCCGCCCGCACTGCGTCGCCGCGGCCGGTGGGGGTGAAACGGAACAGGCTTGGCGCTTCAATGAACGCCGTCTGGAAAGCACCATCGAAAAAATGGCTGGCTAAGCCGACCCAAAGCGTCTGCCTCAGCCGCTCTACGATCCGCGCGCGGAACTGCAGCCTGGCGAGTTGCAAAGCCCCCAGGCTGGGCCTGACCTTGGCGCCCGGGATGTCGGTCGTAGCCAAGTCCACCAGGGCGCCCATGAAGTGCGACGACAGCGGCCAAGAGCACCAGGGCACATCCCCCTGCGCTACGCCCATGCACCTCCTGATCCCGATGACAGAGCAGCCGCTGCACAGGATCCGAATGTCGAGCAGCCACTGCGCCGCGCGCAAGGACTT